TAATAAAATAACAATGAAAGATTAAATAATAAAAATAATATAATTGTCTTTCTAATTTTAGAATAATAATGACAACACTACTATTTTACATATCTAAAAAATATTTAGTTTTGAACAAATCTAATAACATCTTTTTTTTTTTTTGGCATGACTTAATACTATATTACTACCACTCTATAATACCCGTGTAGGTAAATACATTACATTTCCAGCTACTAAAAATATTTTTAATTTTTTTATTATTGAAAGTCATTAAATGATAGGTTACCCTTGCAAGCACTAAGTGATTGCTAGTGTCGGAAATAATCTTTAGATAAGCTTTTCCATAATGTAATAAAATTTTTAATACAGCAAAAACATATTACTTAGGCAGCAAGGTTAACACTTTTTAATAAATATTTTGTCAACTTTATATGCTCAAAATTAAGTTTAGGTAAAATACAAAGGCCACATTCTCTGTCTTCATGATTCCACTGTATAAACTTACCATCCTTACATATATCTCTTTTATCCATATGTTTAAGTTGGATAAGCCATATTTAATTAAGACAGTAACGAGTTTTCTTATTTTAATGTGGTGAATTAGGCATAAACGAATCATTTAAAATGCCTATTCAACAACTTGCAATTTGCACAAACATCGCAAGTTACAAGCAACAACTTTTAAGAAAATTAGTTTGCAAATTTTGATTGCTTTCTAAAGCAAAAGAAACATTTGTCATGCAGTGGCACTAGTTGTAAAAGTCAAGTATATCATCTAAATTAGTCAAGTATATTATCATACACTGCAGCTGACTTTTAAACTAGATAATTAACATGAAATATCTAATTTTAGTTGAAGATAACCTTAGATTTTGAGATATTATTTTTCTGCATTCAACAAAATAGATATTAAATTATAGCTTAAAATTAAGATTTGAAATAAAATTTTGTAACATAATTTGATACACTGTGATTTTTAAACCACAGCGTATCAAATTAAAATTTTTAAATTCTATAATCTTCTTTAATACACTGTACTTTTTTTATAATTAAATTTTTTTATAAAATTAAATTAAATTTGATTTATGTATGATAGTGATGCAATATTTGGTAGCAAACTTTTGCATCATCTTTATTGCATCAAGTATATTTTTTTTATTTGCTATTTGCAATAAAGCATAAATTGCAATACAGCTTAATAAAAATAAAAATTTATATAGGAGCTATTTTTAAAGTATTTATTAAAATCCTATTTTTTTTTTACTGATTAAGTTTTTTACTTGTTAATAAAAATAGAAAAACATTATCGCACAACATTTATTGTTGTATAGCGCTTGTAAAAAAGGTACAAGTTCTACCGTAGAGTAGAATATGTGATATGTACATAGTAAGGTTAAATCTTCTACCTTCCAAAATAAAAATTTTTATCTTTAAAGGTAAAAATTTTTTCCTTGTAAGATAGAAAATTAAACAACAAATCATTGTTTTTAATATAATTAAGGTAATAATTAAAATATAATTTTTTCTCTAAGGTAGATAAATATGCTGTGTTAAGAGTATAACACATATCTTAAAAGATACCAACATTATCTAATTTAGCTTTGAAACCATTCAAAATGATAAAATTGTACCTGATTTTTTCTTGTTTCCCTAAAAAAATACCAACATAGTGTAAAGAGTGATATATCAATTATCAACTAATCCAGCTAAGTAAACTATATATAGAATATAGAGTTTATTAAGCTCTATTAGCTAACATTTTAAATAAATATACTCTGAATATAATACAAAGCATTTATACCCATATACATCCATCAAGTTATACAATCGATGAAATGTTTACATCTCTAACATATTTTCGTATAGTATATAATTTAAATGCTGATATGATATAAGCTATATGGTTGAATATGCACATTAATGCCACTACAAACTCAGTCACATAACTATATTTATCAACAGTTGATGTCTTTATTTTAATCTATATTCATCATTTTTATTTGAAATACAAAATATATATGCAATCCAAAATTTTAACTTGAAACTGAATAACCAAAAAAATCACAATTTGTTCATCTATTTCAATACTTATCCCAGAATATATGTAACTTATCTATAGCGAAATACATTGTTTACAATTTGATGCACTCTAAAGTAGGGTGAGCACTAGTACAGAGAGGAACTTAAGTGTTTTAAGAAAACGGCCCGCGTTTCCAGACTAGTTAAATACTATGACTATGATGTATATGTATATATATATATATATATATATATATATATATATATATATATATATATATATATATATATATATATAATATATAAATATATATATATATATATATATATATATATATATATATATATATATATATATATATATATATATATATATATATATATATATATATATATATATATATATATATATATATATATATATACATCATAGTCATAGTATTTAACTAGTCTGGAAACGCGGGCCGTTTTCTTAAAACACTTAAGTTCCTCTCTGTACTAGTGCTCACCCTACTTTAGAGTGCATCAAATTGTAAACAATGTATTATATATATATATATATACATATATATACATATATGTATATATATATATATATATATATATATATATATATATATATATATATATATATATATATATACATATATGTATATATATATATATATATATATATATATATATATATATATATATATATATTTATATATAAATACATATATATATTTATATATATATATATATATATATACAAATATGTATATGTATATATATATATATATATATATATATATATATATATATATATATATATATATATATATATATATATATGTATATATATATATATATATATATATATATATATATATATATATATATATATATATATAGATATATGTATATATATACATGTATATATATATATATATATATATATATATATATATATATATATATATATATATATACATATATATATATATATATATATATATATATATATATATATATATATATATATATATATATATATATATATATATATATATATATATATATATATATATATATATATATATATATATATATATATATATATATATATATATATATATATATATATATACATATATATACCCAGCAAACACGCCTTCAGCGGACCGCATTGCGCCCTGAAGGCATGTTTGTGATTGCTAATGCGGCTTGCCGCAGCCGGGTAGCTGATGTAGGACCAGCATGCTATTTTGTGTTGGCTTTCTGCTATCGGCCGAAGAGCGATAAAACACCGCGATTTTAAATAGGCATGCCAGCTTCGGTAAGTTTATGACGATACGCTTTAGTTTTGCCAACACAATGCCCAAGTTGGCTCCCGGATAACGGTAAGATGTCGTAAAAACACCAAAAACAAGCATTTCAAGCGCCATGAGACTTACATTGATCGATTTTTATATTTTATACTGAAGTACATAGTCTATGTAAAACAGCAAGTAATAAATAAATAGTATTAAAAAAAATCAAATTAGTCTTTTTATTTTTAAGTCTTACAATATAGGTTATATAAATTAAATCTACATCTATACTTTATATTATAAAATATAGCTATAATTATTGCTTATAAATATTAAAAGTTACATGATTTTATACCTTTACCTATATTTATAAATTATAAATATAGATTTAAACATAATATATTATAATATAATATAAAGTATACTTTACTATATATTATATTATAATATATTATATTTATATCTATACTTATAATTTATTTTTATATCTATATCTATACTTATATATTATATCTATATCTATACTTAATATAGATTACTATATATTAAATCTATATCTATACTTTGTTTAGACATAAAGTATAGATATAAATTATAAATATAGGCTCAATATATATTTATAAGACTCAAAATTAAAAATTCTAATTTGATTTTATTTTAAACAATATAACTTTAACAATAATGTTACAGTTATGTAACAATTTTATAACTATATTAGTATAACATTGTTCTTTTTATATTAAAAGTTACATGACTAGTCATATGACTTTTAATATAACAAGAACAATGTTATACTAATATGAAGTTATATATATATATATATATATATATATATATATATATATATATATATAATATATATATATATATATATATATATATATATATATATATATATATAGACACACACACACACACACACACACATATATATATAATATATACATTTTTAAATATGTACCAGCTTTAGTAAATAAAACAATTTATGTAAATTCTAAAAATGTTTGTTAATGAAAGTATTGCTTTATTTGAATCTAGTATTAGTATTAATGGTAAAGTATATAAGTTTGCCATATCAGCTTTTATTTGTGGTACACCAGCTAGATCATTTATAAATGGAAATAAAGGACAATAAATAAAATAAAGCCTATTAATAAATGTTATGCAATAATTAATGGCATTAATTTGATATCTATTTTTTTTAATTTTTTTAAAAAATATTTTTTATTATATATATTACTGATGCTATTTTTAATTTTTTTTTGTAGATAATAGCTGTGGCAAGTAAAGGAGGCCAGAGACTGTCCAGAAAATGTCTTTTGCGTTATTCACTAACAACCTCTGCTGTAAACTTAACTGGTCTGGTATTACTTTAAATGACAATGAAAGTAACTTTGTAAAACAAAGACTTACACTTGCTTAAAAGTAATTTTTTTTGTAGGGGCTTGTTACTCTAATTTAATAATTACTTGTGTCTAATTTAGTAATTACTAATCTATTTGTTAATAAATAGTTGATAAATAAAATAAAAAAAATTTATTTATTAACTATATAAAAACAAAAAAATTATTAAATAGATAAATAAAATTTGTTAATAAATAGCTTTAACAAAAATTCTATATATTTCTAAAATTAAGTTAAAAAATATATTTTTTGTTTTCCTGCTAGATAGTTAAATAAAAGTCTTAAATTAATTTTTAGGTGCTGTAAAAAGAAATCCTGCAACAACTTCAGCAACTAAATCAGATTTTCAATATGAGGTTGTGCGTTTTTTGCGTGGTACATCAGACCGCAATGGCGGAAAAAAAGTTAGACAAAACCAAAAAAACAAACAAGCCAAGAAAAAAGTGATGCCTACATCAAGTTTTCCAATGCCATTAAATAAAGAGGCATTTTTTAGCTCAGAAAATGAATAACATTGTTAAATAAAATAAGCATCTTTATTTACAAGTTTGTTATCTTTATTTTATTGAAAACTATTTTATATATTTTTAAATATTTTGATTTTTAAACTCAATAGAGTAAAGTTTTTGTGCAATGAGTATTACTGTTTCTGTGTTTTTCATATTCATTCCCTTTTACAGTAACCTTTTGTATATGAGATTGTAGATGAAAATTTAAATCGTGATATTGAATCTTACCAGAAAATAAAGTAAGATTAATTTTATTATTTTGATATTTATTTAATTTTATTATTTTGATATTATTTTAATGTTATTTTTGAAAAAAATTCAAAATATAAGTTCTCGAGTCTGTCTACTGTTTGATTTGTTTGATTATATTAAATTTAAATATAACTATAAGCTTTAAAATATAAAGTTATTGATGGAAAGCTAAATTAACTTGGTATTTAACCAGTGAAGCAGATGAATAAAAATCTAACCAAATTTTTATTTTACAAGCCATTATTTTAAAGGACTGCTTTAACAATTCCGTTCAAACATGCTTGTAAATAAATGTTATATTTATGATTTAATATTATTTCTTTACAGGAAACCGTTTACCTCAACCAGAGTTATATTTCATAGAATTATGTTGACCATGATCCAATTATTGCCATGGGTATTAGATAGATGTTTGATTTGCAAACTGGATTTAAATCATATTTTCTTTAAACATATTTATTTGCTCTTTATATGCTTACAAATAATTCATTAGAAAAAATTATATACTTATTTACTAAACCGTTTTATTTCAATCAATTATTTGATTTTTTATATTTTTCAAGGAGTTTTTATAGTTTATTATATTGGGCTATGTTTTTTTTTTGTAAGGTGAAAACTATGTTCAATTTACAAACTATATTTTAGTTTATCAAAATATATTTTTATTGATGTGTTTTGCCTCTGATTCTTTCTTTTTCAGATGTGCACTTGTGTCTTAAGCTTATGCTTTGCAAAAGGTTCACCATTGCCCTTAAGTTGCTGTGGGTTTTACGGTTTTACTTCCAACCTGGCATATAAGTATCTCATTTTTAAATACTATTTTTTTTGTTAAATTAAAATTAAAATTAAAGATACTTTTTTTAATGAAATAACAACTTTTTTTTTATTGTTCATAAACCCCTCATGCATATTTATAGGATTAGGTATAATAAGGTAGGTTACTGTATATGAAGTTTTATTTTTTAAAAAAGGCACGCAATATGACTTTATTTTTATATAGCTTTTTTTAAAAGTTATTTCTATAGCTTTTCAATTTAAACAATGTTTTTGTTGTTTTTTATGTTTTAAATTATGCTTAAATAATAAAATTAAATTTATATTTATTCAATGTAGATGCACTTAGTATCTGAAGTTATTTGTCAATAACCGGTGATCAGACTATTTCAAACAAATACGTTTTTTAAGGGCTGAGAAGGTTAGTTTATTATCTTTGTTGTAATAGCTCTAAACTTGACTGTTTCAATGTTTTCATTATATATCATTGTCTGTTTTTAGGTGAAAGCTAGAAGTCTGCAGACTGCAACGTGAATCAATTTTCAACACATGGTTTCCTGAATATATTTAGTTTTTGATTGAAATGAGAATAAACTGAACATATAGATATGTTGAAAATTAACTATTTTATATTTTAAACATTCGCTGAATGTGAAGCAATAATCTATAGATGCAAATATACTTTATAATTGGTTTTAGTTTAAAAAAAAATTATTGTTACTTTTATATTCATGTTGTAATTGTAAATTGCAATCTTAAAATGATTTTTATTATAACTTCTGATTAGTCTTTTTGTTCACCAAGCTTAAGCCTTGCCACGTATGACCTAACAGTTTACAGTTGGGGTAGTGTTTTTCGGTGGTAGGAGAATTTTAGTATAATAAATTCGTATTTTGTCTATATACCAAGTCAAAAGATATTTGATGTGTCTTCCAGGCTTTGGCAGGATTTGCATTTTTTTAAGACTAAAAATTTGAGTCGAAAGATATAAAGATTTTTGCTAACAATAAGTGCGTTCTATTCAAACAAAAAAATAAAAATAATTATATTTATATCAATGCATTCAAACCTTAGTCAAAACTTGTTATAGATCCTACGCTATTCCGCTATGGCTTTATCATCGTTTAGCCGCTGACGGACCGTTGTTCAAACGTTGTCGATTTGCCGCCATAGGTCTGCTGTCGAACCGCCTTCAGTTTTCCGCTAACGGACCGATGTAAATACGATGTGCAAGCCAACGCAGCAACGCAACGGGCGGCCGACGTCGGCACGGCATAAGTGCTGACAGCGGTCCGTTATCGGTCCGCCTGTTTGATGTTTGCTGGGTATATATATATATATATATATATATAAATATATATATATATATATATATATTTATATATATATATATATATATATATATATATATATATATATATATATATATATATATATATATATATATATATATCATATATATATATATATATATATATATATATATATATATATATATATATATATATATATATATATATATATATATATATATATATATATATATATATATATATATATATATAATATACATATATATATATATATATATATATATATATATATATATATATATATATATATATATATATATATTTATATATTTATAATTATATTTATATATTTATGCTCTAGTTTTGCAAACGTTCTCATATATATCCATTTATATCTTTATAATCTTTATAATCTTTCTACTTTTAAAGAGTGTTAAACAAATTGTTTTAATTTCGTATAAAGGGTTTTTTAGAAGTTCATCAAAATATGATAACAAAATTTTTTAATGATTGTATATAAAAATTAGAAAGCGAACTAATTATTATAAAAGTTGAGAACAAAGAATTCGAAAGTAAACTTAATGAGACAAATAAAACTATCTAGCAAATGAACAATACAAAACAATAAAAAAAACATCAATAAATTCTAAAAAAAATGCACGAGTCAACTAAATCAAAAATATTTAAACAAAGAAAATCAAGCATCAAATAAAAAAATTGCTGAGTTAGAAGACCAAAGTAGAAGAAATAACTTGCGATTTGAGGGTATTGAGGAAGCCGAAGGCAAAACTTGGGAGAAAATTGAAGAATCGATTAAGAATCTACTAAGAGAAAAACTAAATATTTAAGAAGGTATACAAATTGAAAGAGTGCATCGTCCAGGAGGAAAAGAACACGAAGAAGGTGAGCGTAGAGAGCGAGCTATTGTTGTCAAGTTTCTTAATTTTAAAGATTGTGAAAACATTCTCAAAAAACGCTGAAAAAAAAATTGTGGAAGGTAAACATGTTTATAAACGAAGATTTCAGCGAGCGGAAAACTAGTATTCGCAGACAACTTTATCGACAAGCAAAAAATCAACGAGCATCAGATAAATTCGCTAAAGTTGTGTACAATAAAAAAATCACTATGCCATCTTAAAACAAAGAATATTCACGGTTATTTATAACAGAATAATAAAAAAGTAAATAATAATAAAAACAAAATTTGAAAAACAATAATAACTTTGAAAATGCGGAGGAGTATTTAAAATATTTTAATCAGCTGTTGCTATAGACCTCCGACAGAAAGAACAGAAAATCTTGGTTATTTTTTGAAATTTAATCTAATTGAAAAAGCTAGTCAAGAGAAAAAAAGTTATATTTTGGGTGACTTCAATTTAGATTGTTTTGAATATAGCGAAAACCAAAATATAAAAAACATTTTATTACATTTTATTTGAAATAAAATGTAATAAAATGTTGTTTTGGGAACCATAGCAATAATTGACTGACTTAACTAGAATTACAAACCATTTGTCGACTTTAATTGATAATATTTTAACCGCAGACTATATTGATAAATCTCTAAAAAAAGGAATTATAAAAACTTATGTTTCTGATCATATTCCCATACATTGTTTTATTAAATCAGATTATCAAATAAAAAAGGAGGGCAGAATGATAATAAAAAGCGAATTGTTATCAATTTTAAAATCATTCAAAGATCCAACTTTACAGCATGACTAGAATCACATAAACTTTAATGATAACATTTACATTTTCTATAACACATTTTCTAAAATTTTCTTAAAAATCTATGCCACTCATTTTCCAATAAGTGAAATAAATCTCAAGACAAAGACATATTATCTCCTTCAATGACTATGGGAATAAAACAATTTTCAAAACTAAAATAAAAGTTGTTTGATAAATATTTAAAAACAAAATCCGAAAAACACTAACAAAATTACAAAAACTACAAAAATCTGTTTGAAAAACTCCGCAAATATTCTAAAAAAAATTATTATTCTAAATTGCTTACTTAGCACAAACATAACTTAAAACTTGACTGGGATTTAATGAAAGAAATTAAAGAAAAGCAAAAAGTAATTACAACCTCTCTTCCATTTGCAAAAAAAGTTGGAAATAAAATAGCTAATGATACTAATGAAATTTCGACTAAATTTAACAAATTTTTTCTACTAATGGAGCAAATTTATCAATCAAAGTCCCTTTAACAAATTATAAATTAACAGATGAACTGCAAACATCAAACATAAAAATGTTAAAACAAATACTTTCTTCAGAAATACCTTTTTTAAGGAGACTGTGTGAATTGAGCTCAGAATGGTAACGGCATGGAACCACATCTAGCTTGCCAGAACAAATAAAGAACTGTTTGCTTTACTGATTATAAATGTTTTTTTGTTCTTGACAAACTATTCCACTTCTGATTTGATCAATTCTGATTAGCGCAAATCAAGCGCTAACCAGTGTTGCCCTTAAACCGTAACTTTTCCATGTAGGCTAAGTATGTTTATGTATTCATTAGGTTAAAGATATTCATATTTTTTTATATCGAGCTGTACTCGACCAAACACACGATCTGGTGGCAGATATGAGTGCTCACGTTCTGGAAACTTATGTGTTATATGCAGTTTCTTGAAACAGCTTTTTTAAAGCAAGGAGCATAGATGCCTTGTTTATGTTTTTTTTCTGCCCATAAAATGAATCAAAAAACAGCCAAAGTGATGAAACATCCGAACATTTATGAATTAGATCATTTTTTAATAGATGTTGTACAGTTGAACAGATCATATTTGAATTTTTTTGATTCTCACACTTAAGCTACGTAAAAAAATAAATCGTTAACAGATTGAGATTTATTGCCCCTGTGAATAACAATACCTTGAATATAAATAAAGCTGGCAAGATAAGTAGGCTTCTCCTTTTGATAATTTTGGTTATACAAGATTCTCCATCATGTCAAAGCAGATAGTCATCTCATTTGGGCGGATATCATTTAGTAAACTTTACTTTGTAAAGTTTACTATCTTTCCTTTGGTGAAGAATAAAAGTGCAGCATTTATTTTCTTTTAGTCATCATTAATATTTTGGTTTTTCATAGATAACTTAAACGATTGGCATGTAGAGCATGTATCTGTTGCTGGATATCAAAATGCTAAATTGTAATGGTTTATAAATACCCTATAATAGTAATGGTAGCCAACATTTTGAGCAATAGCTGTATTAATTTTATCCGAAAAAAGTTAAAACATGCGTTTCATATCCAAATCATAGGACAAATATTTACGTACAGGATCACCTTTTCTTCCATAATGATTTGCTCTGCATGTAAAAGTCTGAATATGGTTTTTAATTTCTTTCATTTCAGAAAAAACTGCTTTCACTCATCTTTAATAGTGATTAAACCAGGAAATTTCCATTATTTTAACCGTTCTTTCTGGCTCATCATTAACATTAATAATGCTCTAAGTGTCAATCGTTTCTTTTTAGCTTGGTGGAGCGAATCACTACTTGATCATAAAAAGTTTTTTTTTTTCATAAAAATTTCATTAATTTATTTTCGATCAATTAAGAACTTTTTTTTGACAGAGGCAAAATCATCAATGTTTTTCTATTAAGTTGAAAAAGAAGGAACTGTTATTAATCGTAAAGTAAATTATAGTAGAAAATTGAAGTATAACTTACATATGAGACATACTAAATAGTGGGCCACAAAGTTTTACTTTGGATGCAATGTAACGTTTATCGTAAGCTGATGGGTTTTCTTTTGCTAAGTCAGCAACCATTCTTTCTTTACTTTCTTGATCGACATTATCGTAAAATAAAGACAAAACAGGTACTTTATCTTTCAAATAACATGCTGACAAAACTTCCGTAAAACATCAGACAAAAGCATTTCCAAATGCTTTTGTCTGTTGTTTTTTAAATTTTCATAAAAAATTTTATCAAATTTTGTAAACTTTAAGAATTTTAAGTCCTGATAAGGTGCTTTTTCTGCTAAAAAGCCTTGGAGTTAGAATTTGACGTTGGGTGTCACGATAAATAGACAGACATCCGACAGAGCAGCCTGATCTTTCCTTGGAACTCTAAAAGGGGAGCTTAGAAAAAAAATTATTTAATAAAGAGCTCTCGCCATCCACCAAGTTTGGTGCATAACACCTGGAGGCCAAATCCTTATTTTTTTCTTAGTATCTCTACCTAAAAATATTTTTCAAGGCTCAATTAGATCACAATAATCATCTCTAATATTCTCTTTGGTCAATTCAATTCTAGCAAGTTATCGATTTCTGAGACATTTAAACAGTATTTTCTGTACAGATTTGCATTCTTTTGGCATTGACATTTCCCCAGTTTTCTCGGAAAATTTTAAACAACGAAATTTCTGGGCTCGTAGTTACTTGAGTGATTTTTCCTTTATACATACACTTATTAATACTGATTTGTAAACGCGATGACAGAAAGTAAAAACAAACATTTTTCTAATCCAATTTTGAAGTAATTAAAACAGTAGTAGCACTCTGTCCTCAAGATTCCAGTTGATAATAGCATTCTAAACAGCATATGCCTGTTCCCTTTCTGATAAGCAGTCTGAATTTGACACAGCAATAAATTGTTCGTTATTGTCATATGAAATAAATAGAAAGCCGTTCTTCTTTAGATTTAGATGAATCTAGAGCCGGCAATAGTTTGCCATCCTAGTAGAAAGTTACCGTATCCGGGACAATGTTTTGAAAATAATTTTTCATAGCTTCACCTCGCTCTCTGTGCGTTTCTATACGAGTTCTATAAAGTGAGGACTTGCAAGTACAAAAGCTGTCAACATAAAATTTTTAAAAGAATTTTAAAAAACTTATAGTACAACAAAAGTGACAAGTTAAATACATTTATAAAAACTTTCTATGATATTTGACTCGGCTGACAAAGTAGGAAATTTATACTTGCTTGTGTCTCAACTGCTTCAGTGTAAATCATAGTAATAATAGTTATAATAATAATAATGATAATAATAATAAAAATAATAGCAATAACAATAATAACAATAACAATAACAATAATAATAATAATAACAATAATAAAAAAAATATATACAAACTTTTAAACATTATCAATTTTTTTTTTTTTATTATCTTTTCTTTCGCTTAACATGTGCTCTGGTATTGTGGTTTTACCTCCTCCAGCTAATTGCCATACAGAGGTCACTTTACCAGAAGACCTAAATAGCTGCGGCCGCTAAATTGGAGTCGGGAATGTTTGCCTCCCGCCGGCGGATGTAATGAAAAGTAGTTGCTCGTTTGCTTTAATGCAATTAAATATTAACTAGAAACAAATCTTAAATATTTGACATCAAATTTTATTTTATATGATTATGTGCAGTGTTAAATAAGTTCTAATTTTTTTTTAAAAAAAAAACAAAAGTTAAAAGTTTAAACTATTAAATTTAAATAAAAAAGTTTATTTTCTACTTTTTAGTACAAAAAAGGTTATATTTTTTAGCAAACGTGTTTGCTATATTTTATTTTTTACATCTTTAGTATAGTTTCAAATGTTCTTTAAATATTCAAACTTAAAAGCCAATACCTTTTTTTATTTTACAAATAAATCCAAAAAGACTATCACAAACATGGTCATTCCATCCATAAGAATTTATTTCCACACAGCTTTCTCTCCCTAACTGATTATTAGGCTGACCCTGTCTCCAGTTAAAAAAATGTGAGATTGTATTATCAGACCACGCAAACGTTCTCTGAAGGGCATTAAAACCTTTTAAAACACAAAATTTTCCGGATACAAATTTTTTACGCAAAAAGGTATATAAAAAAATTTAAAAACAAAATCTACATACCAATCCAAAAACGTTGGGTTTCCATACTCTCACTTTTAAGAGTGTTTATTATAAACGAGTTTTCTGCTTCATCTGCAACACTTAGCAAATTTCCCCCATTATTCAAACACCATAAAAGAGAATCTAACCAATTTTTTCCAGGTTGAGTGAAATTTTTACTGTAGAAAAAGTAGCAGTATTTTCCATATTTATTCCAACCATTAGGGCAAGTCACATGAAAATTTCCTATATTAAAAAAATGATAATAAAGTATAAACTATTTTTTCATTTTTATAAACAGCAACAACAAGAGTAAAAATAACACTACAATTATAATAATAATAAATGATAATTATCAGGACGAAATATTAAATAATAATAATAATAGTTATTAACTAAAATAGTAACAGTTATACAACATTACAGTAATAGTAATATAGTAATAGTAACAGTACTTGATTTACAAATATAAATTAAGGTCCCATTAAAGTCATAAAATGATAATAGGAAACTATCTATAGACATGTACAACATTTGCTTAAAATTAGCTATTATTAAGCTGTTTACAATTGCATCGTTGAGTGCATTCTAATGTTCAGCAACTCCTTACTAAAGAAAGTATACCGTTGTTCATAATTATAATTAAATTTTTGTACAAGCTATTCTTTTTTACCAAGTTGAGCTGGACGAATATTAGATTTAGTGTGTCAAATATTGATAGCAAGATCTTTATTAATTATAAATTTTTAAAATAAGTCTCCTCTTTTTCTACGGTTCTCCAGTTTTTGAATTTGAAACAAAATACATCTTTCCGTGTAACCAAGATGTTTGCATATGGTCTGTATTTAATATTTTCTCAAAAATTTTTATATTTTTCATTGTGTAAGATCTAAAGTATATTTTGCATAATTTAGTCCAAAACAGCAAACCCATTAATATAAATGTTTTTTTTAACATATTAGGAATACTTTTAGCTTTATTACTAGCATAAATAACTTGATGAAAATATTTAGCATCACTTAAAACAAATACACCGAGAAAATTTTCTATATCTAATTTTTCCAAATTGTAACCTAAATAATTGATTGTATTTTGAAATCAATAGTTTTTAAGTGTTTTTTTTTGTCCCGATATCCATAACTTTACATTTTTATTGGTTGAGCGTTATTAACTAAACTTTTATCCATTCAGTAACTTCATTTAAATCCGTTTGAATTGATTGTTTTTGACTTAGTGTTTGAATTAGTTGTTTAAATCTGTTTGAATTGGTTGATACTGTTTGAAAGTATCATTAAAAATACTTTTCACTCTTAGCTTGTTCTTTAACCTAGAGTCATCTGCATTAAGTTTACAGACACATTTCAAACTATCAGGCATATGATTGATATAAATAATAAAGAGTATTGGGCCCAAAAGACAGCCTTGTAGGACACCACAAGTAACATAAACCCGGTTAGATATATATTCTTCAAGTAATACTTTCTGTTTTCTTTTATCAAGAAAGTCTATGATCCAATCAAAAAGGTTTCTAAAAATACTAAAAGCTTTTAACTTGGAGATTGATAAAGTGAGAGAGATTGCGTCAAATGCTATTAAAATTTCCAGATATAGCACAACAATAGCACTTTTTTTAGCTGAGGATTTTGAAACGTAATTATTAGATTTTAATGTTTGTAACACATGCTTTGACCTTTACAAAACCATGTTGAGATAAAGAAATAATAAGACAATAAGTTTAGTTTTTATAGATAGTTCACAATTGTATTTTGTACTTGTAAGTTTTTCATTAATTGACATGAGTAAATGTGAGAGAATCTGGTCTGTAATTACTTAATTCACTTGTATTCCCTTTTTTTAAATAAACATTAGGAATTGATCTTTCCGATAGTGATTTGATAAAATTGCAAAATTGAGTTGATACATTGGCACATTGTTTTGATATCAGCGAATAAAAATTGTCGAGTACATTAGTTTTATTTGGTTTAAATTTTTTAATTTACTTTTGATGCCATCTGTTGAAAAATGAAGAAATGATAAACGCTTAATTGTAGGATCTGGAAGATGTGGAAAGTAATTTAATAAAAAAAATAATTATTGAAGAGAGATATCAATTGATCATTTAATGTTTCACCAATATATTTTTCATCAGTCCCAATAAACAAAATCATGTTTGATTTTGCGTGAACTACGACTTAACGTGAGCTTGACTAAAAAAACTTTAACTATAAAATGATAAGCTAAAATATTTTCAAACTTTTTAACTGTTAACCGTTTTAGTAATTGAAAAAAAAAAATCATTTTTTATCGTATTGCTCAACTATATCTGGCATTTTTCAATTTTATGATTGATTTTTACCTCATAATCTATTTTTTGTATTTATAATCAGCAAAGTGTACATTTGCACCAAAATATTTTTTTGTTTTGTTATTACATATCTTTTTTGATACAAACATGAATGATAATGACTGCTTCTTGATATGTATGTCTTTTCAATTAAAAATTGCTGAATCTGAAGTTGTTTTTTTTTGTAAGAAGATGTAATATAAAAAAATTAAAGTTAAGTGTAACTTGCTCTTGAAACCTTCAAGTAAAATAAAAGTAGTTTGGATTTGAAGAAAAAAAACCTAATAAAGCAATCACTGGTGTTAAGGAGAGCTATTTATTGAAATGACTTTTAATTCTTCATCTTTTGAAAATGTTCTATTTAAGTTTCTTTATTGTACCATAAATTTAAGTTTTACCAAAATATATTAAAATATGTTGTCATTGCCAAAGTAACCCCTGTAAAAACAAACTCTTCAGAAATCTGAATTCAAACTCAAAGATATTTGTTTTAAAAGTAAAAAAAGAAATGATCTTTTTTTCCATTATGTCATGATTGTGTTTTGCTTATTTATTTGATTAAAAAATTTTTGCGACGGATTCCTTACTTTTGCTGTTTATTGAGAAATTGTTTTTTCTAATTCAAATGATGTTGCTAAAGGAATAACAGTCAATAATCTTTCAAAAGCAGTAATACTTAAGTGAATATCAAATAGCAAGTTAGTCCTGGTATTTGTGGTGTTACTGGTGTTGCTGTTTGTTCATTCCGAATGTTTTCTTATTTAGTTTCTGAAAATGATTATAATTATATACGTTTGCTTCTTTAAGCTTCTTCATATATTTTCATTTTTTATTGTCAAACAAAAAATACACTAATTATTTGAGATATGGTTGAAATTTGAAAAGAAAGTAGAACAACGTTGTTTCAATGTAATTTTACTTATTGGGATATAAAGCAACAAGTAATATAGAGTCCAGATATTTTTTTATTTTTGTACTTATTTTTTATTCTTATTATTTTTATGTACACTAAAATTATGATTATTAATTTATTATTATTTAATTATTATTATACATAATATAGAGTACATATATGTATTTTCATTATACATAATATAGAGTACGAACTGTTTTTTGCTGTTAGTTTAAGTTCGTTTAACAAGAAATATTATTTCTTTAATAATATCGAAATATTATTCGTTTAATATAATAATAAATAATAATAGTAAGATTAAAATTATTCTTTTACTCTAATAATATTATTTGTTTAGTACGAAATATTGAGGAACTACAATTCGCTATTCTCTATTCGTTTATTAAAAATACTATTCGCCTGTTCTTCAGCTTGCTTCCGAATCGCTAGCAAGCGCTCTAACGCATCCATCAATTTATACAGATACATATTTTATCTCCAAAAATATAGTTCCAATGTATTAACAATATAGAATAAATAAAAAACTAATTAGAATAAATTTAATTACCGTTATTTGTTAAAATTTGAGCTGTTGTTAATGTTGTGAATGATAATAAAGCTGCAAAAAATAAAAAAAGTTTTTTGATATTTAATTTCACCATTAAAGCTGTAGAGTAGACTGATATACGGTTTATACAAGTAGTTTATACAAAGTTTATACAAAGCATATTTCATACCAAAATGCATACTCAAATAAAAAATGTTTTTTTTTTTTTAGTTTTCTGTTTGATAATTAATTTTGGTAGTCAAGATAGATTTTCTAAATAACTCAGTTTTTAAAAAAAAAAAAAAAAATTTTTGATAAAACTAAGAAATATTAAAAGTACATATAAGCATTTCAAATTTTTTTTCAAAGCAGAGTTCAAAAATGTGCATAGAGTGCACTTATTAATAAATATTATATATATAAATATAAATATTAAGGGAAGATATTTAAAGAAAAAAATTAGTAATTATTTAATAATTGTATTAAATACTCTTATACAAACAAGTAACTAGAGATCTAATATGCGCAAAATTTTGATTTACATTTTTAAAGTGGGTTATATGTTTGCCAATTTTCATTTGATTGTCATTGTAAAAATGTCAGTAAAATACAAAACTGTTGCCAATTTTTGTTGTTACTTTTCATTATAGTTAACAAATCATTTAATAGTAAGTTATTAAAACCATTCTACTTTTGAAAATAAGGACAATAATAACATTGTAAAAATTTATTTAAATTTTGAAAACAAAAAGTTTTGTATCAAAATGTTATAACAGTACAATAGTAAAAATGTCATTAAAAAAAGTCTAGTATTTCTCTCTTATGCATACCACCTTAAAATGACAAAAGGAACTCTCAAGTGTTAAAGGTATATTAGGAGCAAAATTTTTTTGAGCAAAATTTTTATTTATTTTTTTTTTTATCACTATACATTTATAATACCTTATCTTACTTTTTTGATAAAGTTTGGTTTATATTGACCAATTTTAAACACGAGGGTTTGTTTTACAGCAAATCCAAATAAATGGTGTTAGTGCTAGCCCTCCCAGCGAGCACATAATGTTATTTCAACTTTTTTTTAACGTTGAGAAATGGTTGATATATGGTAAAAAAATTAACGATTTAAATTTCAACGTTATTTTAACGTTAGTTCAACGTTAAAAAAAAAAAAAACGTTGAAATTTCAACATTGATTCAATGCTGATTTTCAACTAAAAAAAAACGTTGAGTTAACGTTAAAAAATAAACTTTGAAATAACGTTGAAATTACGTTGAAATTTAGATACGAGAGTTTGCCGACGCAATTTTACTAATAATTCGGAATTAAAATAAAATTTAAAGCGATGTCAGGACTTGTTAACTCGATGCTAAAACGTTGTGTAACCATCTTTGTCTATTAAGGTCGCGCTACAAAATTCTAATATGTTAAGTAATAACTAATATTTATTGTAAAATGTTTAAAACAATTCATCTCATAATTAATATTTTCTTATTTTAAAGTACGCATTAAAGCTCTGGTGTCATTATTTTTTTCGTGTTTTATTTGATTTTTTTTTTAATTTTTGTTTAATAAATGAATACTATATATTAAAACTTGTAAATTTTGTTTTTTATAAAAATTATAAGCCATTTTACTTTTAAGTATGTATTTAAAAGATTTTCAAACTATCAAAATAAGTTAAAAATTCTAATTTTAATCAATTTTTGGTGGTGATGCTATTTTATTTTTCGCAGCTGTAAATTATGCAATGTGAAGTATTGTATACAATGTAAAAAGACTTTTAAAATACTCGTGTATAATGTCAATTCCTATAAAATTATACTTTACTAAACTAAAAACATATAAACTGGATTGCAGGCGTTAACTCCAAAGTAGGTTGGTATTTTCATTTTACCATTGTTTTATTTTATATTTTGTTGCATTATTAAAATAAAATAAAGATGGCTTGCACGGTAGAGCATAAAAAAAATTTAAAGCTTTAGTTAAAAAATCAAAAAATAGACTAGTTAATGTAGGCTTTAATAATATAGGAGCTAAAGTGTACCATAAAGTCATTTTTAAATATATCTACTTTGTTTTGTCATGTGCATATAATGCTCATCTAGAGAGAGGGGCCAGATGGAGTTGAAACTTAGCAAACATTCTGGTTATATAATCCATAAACATTCTAGTTATAGAATGTATGTCATTATATAAACATTATGAAAGTAACAGCGAATGTAAATCATGACTTTTTTAGTTAATTTTTATTACTCTGCCTTCGTAAATAGTTGTCTTGGATTTGTTAATATTGTACCATTCATGACAACTTTCTGCTAATAGTTTTTTTACACATAATATAATCTAAATTATCGAGTTGCATAGATGACAATTTGTTAAACAAATTTCTTATTTCTTCGTCTTATTATTATATTATTGATACTATTAATATTATAATTATTTATTTACTTTAATTTTGTTAATTATTTATTATTTACTTATTTATAGTATATGTAAAAAAGTTAGCACTTAAAAAAAAGATAAAGTTATTAAAAGTTATTAAAAGAAAAAGTTAATAAAAAAACAGCATGCTCAAATTAGAGCTAAGATGTCTTAACAGTGACTTCAAAACAGTAAATAATTTATTAAAAAGAAGAAAGAAAGTTAGGGAAAAAGCTGTTTACAAACAAGCTTTTTCCTTAACTTCAAGATCAAACTTTTTCCTTAACTTCAAGGTCAAGCTTTTTCCTTAACTTTCTTTCTTTTTTTTTTTTTAATATTTCAATATATCCGTTGAGCATCTAATCACATTTGTATAGACTAGTCTAGATTAGTTTGTCTAATAATCTAACCTCTTAGTTGTAATCATGCCTGGTTTTTAAGATTTTAAATAAGATTTTGTTTATCACTTTTTTTTTTGATTAAACTTATTTTGATTTGGCAGGTTAATGGCAAGTTAAAGAACAAAGTTTTACTCAACCTAATCTAAAACAAAACAAACAAAAGAAAATGGGTTTTAAGTATTTCTTTGCGCTGCTCTCACTAATATATATATATATATATATATATATATATATATATATATATATATATATATATATATATATATATATATATATATATATATATATATATATGTATTAATAAACTGCTAATAATAACAAATAAAAGCTGTAAAAATTGAGAACATGATGTGCAGTATTATAGCATAAGATATTATACTATGACAGCTATTATAAGTTGATGAAGAACTATTGTTTCTTTTCTTACTCATTGCAACTCAATATTGTACAAAAAATATGTTTTTTTGGATTAAAGGAGTCATGGCGCAATAAGTTGTATTTGAGGTTGACAAACTCATGTATAAGTTGGTTAATTCAATGTTGATTTAACGTTGGTTTTTCAACGTTGATCTAACGTTTTTTTTTCAACGTTGATTTGTGTTTCCATTTCAAACAAAAATCAACCATTTTGAACTATAAGTTTCAACGGCTTTTTAACGTTAAATCGACGTTGATTGTGTTTGTTGGGCTTAATCAACTTAAATTTTACGGAATTTTAAAACTCAGAAAAAAACATTTTACAGAATATTTTTTGTAAAGGCGCTGTTTCTAAAAGAATGATTTTTGTCAATCGTGGCGTGGTAGTTGTCAAAAGTTTTAATTTTATAATAAAAAAGTAGTTTAATAAAAAAGATGTAATTTGTCAATCGTGGCATGATAATTATTTATCCTCTGTCTATTATCATTGTAACTCGTCTAAAGATCGTAAATAAATGAATTTGTTTTAACAAAGGCAATGAGAACATTAGTATACTGTTTCCAAATAATATAATTAAGGGTTGACACTTAATGACTGTAATGAGTCCATCGTTTTAATGTAATGATAATTTTCTTTTTATGTCATAGCAGATTTTATGTTGTAAATATTTAAATATAATGTTATTTAAACAATTTTTCACATAATTTAGTAATATTTCAAATATCTGATGGTTTTCTGAATATTTATAGTAATATTTCAAATATCTGATAGTTTTCTATTTCCAGAATTGTGGTTGTTGTTATTAATGACAGTATCGTCATTGTTCGAGCGTTCGGACTGTTGTTGGACTAGTTCTGTTAAGGGATTTCTATCTTGTAGTGGGGCAAGATCTTTTGTTGAAACTGAATCATTTTTTCCATTTTGAGGTTTCACGCGTGCAAAATGAGGCGATATTGTTTCTAATAGTTGAACTCTGTCAACAAGTGGATCTCCCTTTAATCGCATCTGACGTCTGTACAAAATTGTCGAATCCTGCTCTGTTAAGAAGTTTTGTAGAACTGTACCTATTATTGATGAACGCTGAAAGTTACTTTCGAGGTTGATTGATTATCGTAAGGAAGGTTCCAATGTTGAAGAATTTCTGATGTAATAAACGTTTTATCGGAGCCAGTATGTATTAAGTGCCTGTGTTATATTTTTGTTAATGGTGACGTTACTTAGTCTATCAGGTGAGTTGTTGCTGCTATGACCGTATCTACGGTTATTTCGTTATCGTTTTCTTCTTGATATTCCTTAACAACTGCTGCTTTAGTGTAGGTCTTATTTTGTTTCTTTTAGAGGCAGACAGTTGCCCAGTGGCCCCTTCTTTGACAATGTGTACAGGTGGAATTTTGTGCTGGGTATTTAATTTTTGGATGTGGATCATTACCGCACCAGTAACAATGAGATTTCGTAAGGTTACGACTTGCGGCAAAAGTTGGTAGCGTAGTATTAGCTGTCGTTATTGTTGTCAAATTTAAAGTATCTTTGGTGGCTAATTCCATTGTTAGCGCTATTTTATGAAGTGCCTCGAGATCTTCTGTAGCTTCGAGGATCCTGTATTATTGTGAAAGCTTTAACACCGGATAGTACTAATAAAACTTGGAGTTTGCAATCTTCGTCTATATTAGCTTTATCTAACTTTTTTAAGGGCCACTCTCAAATTCGGTATCCAGAATCTTTCTCTTATGCTACCATGGTAACTCCGACTCCTCCGTGTAAGGTTTTGGTGTGATGGTGCTCAATAATTCGTAAAGTTAGTAGGAACCCTTTTGGTATAAATATTGGGCAA